TAACAGATTATTATGATAAATGGATAGAATTTGGGCAGGCAGAGGTAAGCTCTTGTTCCCAACCCTTCTCCACTTTTAGTTCCTGACCTCCGTGAAGAAAATTTGGATTTACTGGAACTGAAGTCACTTGAACTTTCAAAGAAACCATCATATTCCATATTCTTTAAGAAAAAGAGAAATTCCATTTAAAGTAACTGTAGACAGTATAAAATACTTGGGATTCTACCTGCAAAGACAAATCAAGGAACTATATGAATACAAGTATAAGATACTTTTCATACAAATAAAGTCAGATCTAAATAATTGGAGAAATATTACTTGCTCATGGGTAGGCTGAGCCAATATAATAAAAATGACAATTCTACCTAAATTCGTCTGTTTATTCAGTGCTATGCCAAACTATCAAAAATTATTTTATAGAACTAGAAAAAATAATAAAATTCATCTGGAAGAACAAAAGCTCAAGGATGTCAAAGGGAATCAATGAAAAAAAAATTGAAAGAAAGTGGTCTAGCCATGCCAGATCTCAAACTATATTATAAAGCAGTAATTATCAAAAACAATTTGGTACTGGATAAGAAATAGAGTGGTGGATTAGTGGAATAGATTAGGTACAAATTACATTATAGTAAATGACCATAGTAATATAGTATATGATTAGCTCAGAGATCCAAGCTTTTTGTCATTATTTGACAAAAACTCCTGGGAAAACTGGAAAACAATATGGCAGAAACTAGGTCCAAGAGTGGACCCCTTAATAAAAGGATTTGTTCTGTAAAACTTGGACTCAGTCAAAAGGCTGCACCTGAGGACCTAGAAGGCCACATGTGGCCTCGAGGTCACAGGTTTCCCACCCCTGGTAGAGTAGACCAACATCTTACACTGCACACCAGGATAAGGTCAAAATGGGGATGTGATTTACACATAAAGGGTGATATCATAAGCATATTAAGAGAGCATGGAATAGTTTATCTGTCAGATTTATGGATAAGGGAAAAATTTAGGACCAAAGAAGAGATAGAGAGCATTACAAAATGTAAAGTGGATCATTTTGATTATATAAAATTAAAAAACTTTTGCACAGACAAAACCAGTGCAACCAAAATTATAAGGAAAGCAGAAAACTGTGAAAAAAATTTTGCAACAAGTATCTCTGATGAAGGCCTCATTTCTCAAATGTATAGAGAACTGGTTATAAAATACAAGTCATTCCTCAATTGATAAATGACCAAAGGATATGAACAGGCAGTTTTGAGACAAAGAAATCAAAGCTGTCTTTCGTCATATGAAAAAATATTCTAAATCACTATTGAACAGAGAAATGCAAATTAAAACAACTCTGAGGTACCACCTCACACCTATCAGAGTAACTAATATGACAAAAAAAGGAAAATGTTGGATGTTGGAGGAGATGTGGGAAAACTGGGATATTGGTGGAGTTCTGAACTGATCCAACCATTCTGGAGAGCAATTTGAAACTACACCCAAAGGGCTACAAACCTGTGAGTATCTTTTGATCCAGCAATACTATTGCTAAGTACTACTTATCCCAAAGACATACAAAAAAAGGGAAAAGGAACTATTTGGTCAAAATATTTATAGCAGTTCTGTTTGTGGTGGCTAAGAATTGGAAATCAAAGGGATGCCCATCAATTGGGGAATGGCTAAACAAGCTGGGGTATATGATTGTGATGGAAAATTATTGGAAAATATAATGGAAAATATAAGACATGACAAGCAGGAAGATTTCAGAAAAACCTGGAAAGACTTACATGAACTGATGTATAGTGAAGTGAATAAAACCAGGAGAACATTGTACATAATAACAGCAATATTGTTTGATGAAGAATTGTTAATGACTTAGCTGTTCTCAGTAATACAATGATCTAAGACAATCCCAAAGGACTGATGATGAAGCATACTATCTGCCTCCAGAGAAAGAACTGATATTGATTGAATATAGACTGAAGCATGCTATTTTTCATTTTCTTTCTTTCATTTTTTCCTTTTATTCAAGTTTTCTTGTACAAAATTACTAATATGGAAATGTCTTACATAATTGCATATTTATAATCTATATCTGATTGCTTACCATCTCACAGAGGGGGGAGGGGAGGAAGGAATAGAATTTGGAACTCAAAACTTTAAATAAAAATGTAAAAAAATAAATGACTTTGCCCAAATAAGCTATTTTGACTCTTATAAATACCCAAATTAACTATAAAGGACATATGAAGAAAGACACTATCTATATCCAGAGAAAGAACTGATAAATAGAAGTATATTGCATATATATACCTATTTGTATCTAATAGTAGACATCTGGGGGAAGAAAAAATAAATTTGTATGATAATTTTGTTGCATATTTGAAAGAAATAGAAAGTTGTGCATAGTGGATTTGCAGTTTCATGTGCAATCATCTTTTTTTATTGTACTATGTTATGGGGGAAAAAAAAACTCCAAGGGACATATAAAGAAAGCTGGTATCTATATCCAGAGAAAGAGCTGATAAATAGATGTATAGAATAATTTTACATATATGTATATACATATATACATATACACTCATATATGTATATATACATATATGCATTTATACATATATATATTTATAATACCAATTTTTGTCTAATGGTAGCCATCTCCAAGGTGAGGGAAGAAAAAAAAAGACATTTGCCTGATAATTTTGTTTTGTATTTGAATGGAACAGCAAGTTATGCAAAATAGATTTGCAGTTTCAGGTACAATCATCTTTTTTATTGTACTATGTTGTGGAAATGCTTGTTTTATTCCACAAGTTAAAAATAAAACATTTGTAAAATTGTAAAAAAAAAAGAAAAGAAAAGGAAGAGAAGCCACTGGCAAGAAATCTGCCTAGGTTAGAAATTTGTTTTTTTGTTTTGTTTTTTTGAAAACTCTTCCTCTAGGGTCAGTACAGCATCATCTGAATCTCTTATACCTTCCATAACTGTAGAACTCTCAAGTTAGAAGTAACGATGGAACTTGGGGCAAGTGACAAGCCCTTTGGCCTCAGTTTTCTCCTGGGTATAACTGAAGGAGTTGTACTGGATCATCTCTAAACCCCCTCTCAAACCTAGATTTCTCTGTGTGGAATGATGCTTCTGACACACTAAAAATCTGAAGTTATCATAAAGGATTAAATCATTTTCAGTTGACTATACTTTGTAAGGCAGTAAAGTAGATTGATATATTTTAGGAAGATTTTCAACCATAAAGGTAACAGGGAGGAAGGAAAGTACTATTCATTTCTCCTTAACCCATAGTTATCAAGAAAATGTAATCAGAACACCCCACCCGCCGTCTAGTTCCATTACTCCATTTTAAAATATGGTTTTTTGAGGTACAGTTTGACCTATTGAATTAAGTTCAGACTCAGATCTCTTCTCTTAGGGCCAGGAATTGAAAGATAAGATTCTTGACACTTTCCTCTAAGGTACTTATTCACTGCATCCTACTCACTGTGAGCCTCTTAGGGAAACTGCTTCACCTGAGTTTTCCCATTTGCAAAATCGGAGCTCTCAGCCTTCATGTCTAGCCAGCAGGTTATGTGGGAAGGAAAGCCAGTTTTAAGAGTAATACCTATAAGATCAAATATCAACATCCTCTGTGTGGCTTTTAAAGCCCTTTGCAAACTGACCTCTTCCTGACTTCCCAGTCTTCTTACGCTTTAGTCCCCTTACGCTTTCGTCCCCTTTACACACTCCACAATCCAGTGACAGTGGTTTCCTTGTTGTTCCTGAAGCACGTACAACTCCATCCCTTTTCACTGGTTATCCCTCTTTCCTGGAATATACTGTTATCTCTTCCACATCGCAACTTTCCCCATCGAGATATATCACTAATCTGCATAAGAAATTAAATGGGAATTTTGGGGGAGTTTTGTGAAAGCCGAAGGTGAGGGGCAGCTAGGTGGCTCAGTGGATAGAGCACCGACCCTGAAGTCAGGAGGACCTGAGTTCAAATCTGGCCTCAGACCAAACACTTGACACATATTATCTGTGTAACCTTGGGCAAGTCACTTAACCCCGATTGCCTCACTAAAAATTAAAAAAAAAGAAAGCCAAAGGTGACGGGTGAAGGCCAGCAGGCTTAGAAACTCAGAAATCCATAAAATATATGTATGGTGCTGTAAATATCCCATAAAAAAAAAAAAAGAAAAAATTCAGACTTCTTCTCTGGTACAAAGGGAGGACCAAAAACTTTTATGTGGATTTTCCTGATTGAGGAGACACCATGCTTAACCCTGGCAAAGTGGAAGAGATAATTGTACTCCCTCTTCACCTCTGACTCTGGGCTTCCCTGGCTTCCTTCAAGATTCAGCTCAAAACCTATTTTCTTGGTCCCCTCCTCACACCCTTCCTGAGATTACTTTGAATGTACATTGTAAGCCATTTTGACTTAGGCAATATTGTAAGAATTTAAGTTCCTGGACCAGATCTTGTATAGTTATTTACATGGTGCTTCCTCCACTAGAATGTGAGCATCCTCGAGGGCAGGGGCCATGTTTCTGCCTTTCTTTGTATCTCAAGTGCTTGGCACATAACAAATCAATGCTTGGTAAATGCTTACTGACTGACTAAATTCTAAATTCTCCTTCCAGATGTAGAGATGCTCCAGTCCAGTGCATCTAACGCGAAATCCGCAGACTCTTTTCCCGTAGCCACCAAAGACTCCATCATTCGCAAATTCTTGGAAGGTAAAAGCTGGGATATAGCCAGGGCAGAGGAAAGAGAGAAGAGAAATTGCAATCCAAGACTTTGTGTGGGTCTAGGAGAAAGCTGGCCTTACCTGTAGGCAGTGGCATATGTGGTATATTTTTAGCAGTACAGAAAGGGCCACCTGCAAAAAACCAAACCCAAACAAAAACAAACAAACTTCTCCAGACTGCTCACCATGAATCAGTCTGTTAAGTGTAAGGCATTATTTTCAGAAGGCCCCTGTTAAAATGGACATAATAAGTGAGAGGGCTAACACCTAGCCTATTGTCAACCACTAACATTTGGAAGTGGATTAGCTTGTTAGAGTAGCCACAGAGACTCACTCTACTCCACCCCCCCATCCTCGCCCCCCAGGCAACAGGTAGTGGTAAGATGGGTAGGTGTCAAATGGTAAGGAAGGAGAAGCTAGATTCTTCCTGTAGGTTTCCCTAATCCCTTGTAGAATGGGAAGCAGGCAGTAGGACATTGGAGTCCTAAGCTTGTTGTGGACCCAGAGATATCCCCTCATAATTCCATTCAAGCATCGAGGGAGTGGTTCATCTTTCTCTTATGGCCCCTGAATAGCATCATCTGTTTCTTGAATTCTGATAGGATGATAACCTAGATCCCAAGGAGTAAAATGAGGCTAGAGATAAACTTTCTTCTAAAATGATCCCCAGATAGGAGTAAATGGGTATTGGGGGCAGGGGGAGAGGAAAAGAAGCAAAGAGTGATAAATTAAAAAAAAAAAATGTTTTCTTTGTGTGTCCATATTTGGTTCAAGAGCTGGTTTTAAATATTTTCTAGAAATGACAGCATTTTTCTGAGCTGGTAGGGTCATTTGCTTCTCATTTCCTAGGCAACAATGTAGAAGCACCTCGTTTGGAGAGAGACTCTTGCCCTGGTGATGGGGATGAAGATGTTTACCACACAGTTGAAGATGATAGTGCCTTTTCTATGGATCTTGCCAACAGACCCCCAGTGCCTGTGCCCAGGCCGGAGGCCAGTCCTCATGCCAGTCACCAGATGTCCCAGAGTGAACCATATATTTCTAAAGGTAAGCCTGGTGGCATGTAATATTGCCTAGGGGATGCATTCATCTTGTGAAATTCATGCCAGGAATTGCAAAAAAGAAAGTTCTTTAATCCCATAAGAGTATTTCCCTACTGTTGTATGATTATAAATATTTAACACTATGAGTTGTTAGAGGAATATAGCCTTCCCAAATGGTTCCCCAACCACTTCCAGGACAACCACCACATTTGATTCCCACTAGGTTTAAGAGTTAAAATAAGGGGAAATTACCAGATCTGGTCCAGGAACTTACATTCTTACAATGTTGCACAAGTCAAAGTGGCTTACGTAGCTATTTTTGCCATATTTTAATGAAACAGATACTTATTGCTGAAGATCTCAATTGAAGAAGCAATTTTTTAACTTAAAAAAGTTATTGATGCTTTTTGTTATATCTGTATTCTTAATGTAGTCCTCCCCTACCTTCCCAACCAGCAAAGCATCTCTTGTAACAAAGGTTTTTTTTTTTAAAGAAAAAGGAAAAAGGATCTGTACAGCAAAACCAAACGACACATCAATCGTATTTGACATTATATGCAATATTCCACATTAATATTCCTCTACTTTTTTTTTTGGTGGGTCCATGAGTTTAATCAATATCACTTGCTGAGCACTTGTGCTGTGAGGAATTTAGGCAGGGTGGACTCTTCCAGGGATTGTATCAGAATTACAGCTCCATGTACCAACATTAAATTACATAGACCAGCATGGATGTAGCACTGGGATCATGCAAATCAGTGAAAGTCATATAGCAATTCCCAAACTGAGGAGTCATTTCAGAGCTTGTTGTTGTTCGCTCGGGTCTAATTTTTTTTGACCCTGTGGACCACAGCACACAAGGCCTTTCTGTCCTCCACTTGGACATCTTCTGACCTGAGGGGCTCATCTTCCAATGTCGTATCTTTTAGCATTTTAATACTGTCTGTGGAATTTTCTTGGCAAAGATGCTGGAGTGGTTTGCCATTTCCTTCTCCAATGGATCATCTTTTGTCAGAACTCTGCAATATTACCTGTCATCTTGGGAAACCCTGCATGGCATAGTTTATAGTTTCATTGAGTCATGCAACCCCCTTCTCCACACAAGGCTGTGATCCAAGAGGGGCTTTGTTGGCCTAAGGAACTTATTTTAAGTAAATTCTCCCTCACTAAAGCAGATCAGCATCTGCTTTGTGATTTATAGTTGCAGTTGCGTGGAGCACTGGGAGATTAAGTGATTTTCTCAGGATTATGTATGTGCCTGAGGCAAAGTCTTGAACTCTTGCCTTCCTGACTTCAAGATTGGTGCTCTATCCACTACACCACAGATGCCTCTTCTATTTGGCTTTTAAAGCCCTTCACAAATTAGCCTAACCTACCTCTCTAGCTTTATTATATGTTCCTCCCCTTTCTATACCGTACGTACAATCTAGACAACATAGCCTTCTTCCTGCTCTTTGCCCATGACATTCTGTCTCCATGTTTTTGTACTGCTCACCAGTACTCTCCTTTCTCATTTCTACTACATAGAATGCCTTACTTCATTCAATATTCCACTCAAGTACTACATTCTATATGAAACAGTTCTTGATCCCCTAAATTTCTAATGCTCCCCTTCCTTAAATGATCTTGAATTCATTTTTATAGTGTATATATTTATATATGTATGTATTATTCCCCCCTCTCTATCACTACCATCATGAAATGTAAGCTGCTTGAGGGGATGGACCCTTTCATTTTTGTCTTTGTAACTCAGTGCCTAGCACCGTGCTTGGTACGTTGTAGACACTTGATAAATGCTTGATGACTGATAGATTGTACTGCCAGTTTCCTTCATAGTGTGGTAAGGTAAAGCTGTGTAGGTGTGTTGATGGCATACATTAGACTCAAAAGGACAGACTAGAGATGCTAGAAGATATGGTAGGGAAGGGTAGCATCACAAAGCACAGAATGTGAGGTTAACCAACAACAAAAGATCTTGTCATAAAAGCCAGTACCATCAATCACCAAAGACCATGGTTGATATGAGCCCCAAAGGTTGGGGGTGTGCTCCTATCACAAGTGTTCTAGTATTTTTTAACAACCCATTAGAGTTCTATCATTGACTTATTTGTCTAACCCTGTTATTTTTTCAGCCTTCACCACTTCTTGGGATAGTGAGTCCTGTTATTTTGTAACTGACATATTACATTCTTTTGTTGTTGTTCAGTCCCTTCAGTCATGCCTGACTCTTTATGGCCCCATTTGGAGTTTTCTTGGCAAAGATACTGGAGTAGTCTGACAGTACCTTCTTCAGCTCCTTTTGTATATGAGGAAACTGAGGCAAACAGGGTTAAGTGACGTACACAGGGTCACACAGGTAGTAAGTGTCTGAGGCTGGATTTGAACTCAGGTCTTCCTGAGTTCAACACTCTATCCACTGTGCTACCTGGCTTCCTATATTACATTCTTTAATGAGTCCTAAACTGGATCAAGCTTTGAGGGGTCCCATAATTGCAGTATACTTCAATTAAATGATCAAAATTTTTGTTCTTTTCTGTTCACTTCATGATTTTGCTCATTTGTTTTCTTTTCCCTCTCTGCCTTTGTCTTTCTACACTGGAGAAGTACTATTTATATGTTTCTCTTCATTGAGAAATCCCTCCATTGTTGCCTCTTTCCATTGGACGCCATATTCCTGTGATGGACTTACTATTTTTTTTTTCTTTAGGGCAGGACAGCATTTTATCTCATGCGCACCCAATTTACAAAACATTTTACAGTTATTCCAGGAGGAGGATTCTCTAGAAGTTTGTGTTGGCTTTTATATAGTGTTGTTTCTTCTTTAGTATTTGCAGATAAAAGTCAGGAGAGGCCTGGAAATTTGTATATTTCTTCTGAGTTCATGAGAAAAGGTAAGATTTCCTTGATTAGTATTGTGTCTTACTTTTTTTGTAAGGTGGGATTGGGAGGAGTATTTATTATTGTTTTAAAAATTATTTCCAGGCTTAAATTTAGTCTGTTTTCTACTGCTTCTCATTTATCCTCACAGAAGACACTTAGCAACCTTCAAATGAGTGAAGTGGTGAGATGAATATTGGTGAGAATTAAGGACAGTCTGAACACGGAAGCCCCATCACAGTCCCATGCTTTTTTGCAAGTGGATTGACATTGTTCTCAAGATTCAGTAGAACAGGGCAGAGGTTGGGAAGAGAGGGCAGGATAGTATAACAATCACCTTGAAGAATCATCCTTGACTGAATAGGGTCTCCTCTACCACATATTACTTTTTTAGATTAGGTTCTGATCCATGACTTTCTAGGAGATTAAGGTTTGAAGGGGTCTGTTGATTACTTAGATCCTCCCACATCTAGCACTCATTTTGAGGGTTTCATAACTCCCTAAAAGATCCCTTTTGCTTTCTAACCTCATCACAAGCCATACTCTCTCATGATTTCATTCTCATTCAGCAAACATTGGAGACTTATTATGGAATTTTTTCCATTTTAAAAATTCTGAATTTAATAAATATCAATTAAAATGAGCCACTCCATATACACTGAGGAACAGAGAGGATTGTACATAAAGCTATAAATCTCCATCATGTACTTGCTTTTCAAATATATAATAAATTTAGTATGCAACTTTGAAAGCCGTCCTGCTTATCTACGATTCCTTCTGTTCTCTTCTGTGCATTTCAAAAACATCTCTTAATGTTTCTCTTTTCTCTCTTTTCCTTTTCTTTCTTTTTGGCAACCCTATTCCTAGCTTCCCTCTCTCTCTCCCAACTCCAGTCCTCCCAAACTGAGAAAAAGGACAGACAAAACCTTTGTAACAAATATGCATGATCAAGAAAAAAAATTCCCACATTAGTTGTGCCCAACAATATATGTCTCATTCTCCAACATGAATCTGTCTCCTCTCTATCAGAGGAGGGTAATATACTTTTGCTCATTGGTTCTTCGAAAGCATGTTAGCCATTACATTGATCAGAGTTCATAAGTCTTTCAAAGATGTTTGCTTTTATATATATATATATTTATAAGTATAAATATAATACATAATATTATATATAAACATATATATAATATATAAAATATATATATATATATTTTACATTGTGTAGATTGTTCTCCTGGTTCTGCTCACTTCACTCTGCATCAGTTTATATAAGTCTTCCCAGGTTTCTCTCAAACACATCCTTTTTACCTTTTCTTATGGCATAATAATATTCCATGGCATTTATATACCATCATTTGTTCCATCGCTCCCTAATTGGTGGGTACCCCATTAGCTTTCAGTTCTTTTCTATAACTTGAAGAGCTGCTGTAACCATTTCTGTGCATATGAGTACTTTTCATCTTCCTTTGATCTCTGTAGAGTAGAGAGCTAATAGTAATATTGCTGGGCCAAAGGGCATACGCAGTTTAGTGACTTTGGGGTATGGTTCCAGATTTAAGCACTTACTATGTGCAGTGCTCTGTGAAAGGAACTGAAGGAAGAGGTAAAGATCGCTAACATATGGCTCCTAACTCAATCATCTCACAGTGATTTTCTTTTATTTTCTAATTGTCCCTGACTGCCAGTTGCCTTTTTTCTCCTTCCTTCCTCCTGTTTTGCACAAATTCATAGAGTTTTCAAACTCCAAATCTAGCCCACTCCCCACTCTGCTACACCATCTCTTGGTGTTTGATTTGTTCCACCTAGGGTCTATATGGCGACTTTTTGGTTTTTTTCCATCTGTTTTTCAGAATCATTCTCTTGTAAGCTCCTTGAGGGCAGGGACTGTCTTTTGCCTCTTTTTGTATCCCGAGTGCTCAGCACAGTGCCTGGCACTGTAGGTGCTTAATAAATGTTTATTGCTTGATTCTTCTTATGTTACCCAGCTGTCTGCTTTTCCCTGTTGGATTCAAGTGTGTGTGTGACCTTAACCTAAAATTGTCTTTCCTCAGAATCATTGGTCAGGCCGTGGAGGGACAGACCTCAGTCAAGCATCTATGATCCATTTGCTGGCATGAAAACTCCTGGCCAGAGACAGCTCATCACTTTACAGGAACAAGTAAAACTGGGCATTGTTAACGTGGATGAGGCTGTTCTCCATTTCAAGGAGTGGCAACTGAATCAGAAGAAGAGATCAGAGTCCTTTCGCTTTCAGCAGGTAATTTCTGCTTTCCATGTGCTTGCCATGATTAGAGCTACAACACCCAGAATGGAGAGCTGCTGCTAGCCGGTGGCTGGTTCGCTAGCTTTCCTTGTTGCTGAGATATGCAGAACAAGGGGCTACTAGCTGAACAAAAGCCCCTCTGGCAGCCCCTCCACCTCTATGGTCTCCCAGAAATGTAAGTATAGGAGAAATCCCACTACTTTCTAGACCTGATCCTGCTCTCTGTGACTCAGGTTAGGAAACTGGCCTCACATACAGTCACTGGGATGTGGCTTTATGTCTCTTATAATATAAACCAAGGGCAGGCATCTGAGATTCACTGTTAACACAGCAGGAAAAGCCAGCCTAAGTGACTAATTAACTTTAGCTGGCACTGATAATGCCAGCTAATGAGTGGATGAAAAATATAAATACTATCAGCTAAGCACTGTGCTAAGAAGATGGCATAATATGGAAGAAGATGATCATCATTATCATAATAGTAAGAATACTTAGCATTCATGGGTTGCCTACTATGCTCCTGGCACTGTGCTAAATGCTTTACAATTATCTCATCTGATCCTCACAACAACTCTGGGAGGTAGGTGCTATTATTATCCCCATTTTATAATTAGGAAACTGAGGCAGACAGCAATAAAGTGAGTTGCTCAGGGTCAAACAGCTAGTAAGTATATGAGACTACATCTGAACTCAGGTTTTCTTGACTTCAGGTCCAGTGCTTTGTGCGCTATGGTGCCACCTAGCTGCCCAATCATAAAGTCATTCAGTATTAGTAATATTAAGTACAAGTGATAAGACTTTTATTTTTGTATTCAAAAGTCTTGCAAATTGGAGGCAGTTAGGTGGCACGGTGGATACAGCACCAGCCCTAGAGTCAGGAGGACCTGAGTTCAAATCTGGTCTCGGACCAGACACTTGACACTAGCTGTGTGACCCTGGCAAGTCATTTAACCCCAACTGCCACACACACACACACACACACACACACACACACACACACACACACACTCACACACAAAACAGAACAGAGGTTCCCAAATTTATTTGGTATACTGCCGCCTTTTAAAAAAAATTACTCAGGGGCAGCTAGGTGGCACAATGGATAGAACACCAGCCCTGAAGTCAGGAGGACCTGAATTCAAATCCAGTCTCAGACACATGACACTTATAGCTGTGTGACCCTGGGCAAGTCACTTAACCCCAATTGCCTAAAAAAAAAAAAATTACTCAGCAGCCCCCCAAAAAAATCTACTTTCTTTAACCTTTAATGGTTTTTTTTTTTAGAAATTTGTGTCATTTCAAAAAATATAAAATTTTTAAAATTATACATCTTAAATTTAATAATTTATTGTAAATTTGTGGGGTTTTTCCTGCACTGAAATTTTGTTGATGCGATATTGCATCATGTAACCATATAGTATCATACTGTAAACAAGTCATTACATGTACATATTCCTGCTGATGCATGCTGGAGTTCTCGACAATGTGCTTGCCTGCCAACACTTGCTTCTTAAGACTGGTTGGGAGACTTGACCACTGATTGGTTATAACTTGTATTTTGTGTGTTTATTTGGAAAATAATGTAATCACTATGACTTTAACTCTGTTACACAACAGATGAAACATGTACAAATGATTTTTCAAAATTTTCTACTCTTCTTTCCTTATGTTTCTACTGCCCCCTAATTGTACCCAAGACTACTACTCCGTTCCATCTTTCCAGCACCCCCCAGGGAAAGATATTGCCTACTTTGGGAACCTGTGGTCAAGAGTCAGGAAGACCTATGTTCCAATCCAGTCTCAGACACTTGCTGGCTGTATGACCCTGGGCAAGTCATCTAACCTTGTTTGCCCAAGTTTCCTCATCTGTAAAATGAACTAGAGAAGGAAATGGCAAACCACTCCAGTATCTTTGTCAAGAAAATCCCAAAAAGGGTCACAGAATCAAACATGACTGAAAAACAACTAAACAATAAAAATTATACAATATATAAAAGTATATATTGTTATTAATAAACTGGGTTATTATTTATAATGTCAACATGGAAGTATTTCTCTAGTGGCATACTCCAGAGCTCGGTCTTGGTCCAGTTCTGTGCAGCATTGATAATAACTTAGATACCGTATAATCAGATGTGTGCTTAAGGATAACTAATGCATTCAATGACAGCATCAAGATTCAAAAATATTTCAACAGTCTGATACTCTGGGCTAAATCTAGTGAGACAGAATTTAAGAAGAATAAATTTGTCCTTCATTCAGGTTATAAAGAGTCAAAGTACAAAATGAAAGAAATGTGGCTTAACAGCGCTTTACATGGAAAAAAAAACAACTTAGAAGTGTTAATTAATTACAAGCTCAGGATGAGTCAGCGTGTTATGCGGCTGCCAGAAAAGCTAATACATAAATTTTTGGTGTGGGTAGTCCTTCCCCCAGTGCTGATCACAACCCTTCCAAACCCTCTCCAGCTTTGTAGATGGCAATCATGAATTTCTGTAGCTGAAAAAAAAAAAATCATCTCTTAGTGCACCAAGCATCCTAAAACGGTGCTTTGACCACGTCCCACTTTGGCACAAAATCTTTCAGTGTCTCTCAGTAGTTACAGGATGAAGTCTGAATTCCTTAACCTGGCCACCAAAGCTTCCTCCAGCTTTGTCCCATCCTCCCTTTCCTGATTATTTCTTAACTACGTCTCCAACAATACTCCTCCGTCCCTGCCAGACTTAGCTCTCTCTGAGTCTGCCAGGCCCTCCCCTGCTTTTTTTTTTCCTTCTACACCTTTGCCAGTCACTTAATAAATATTTACTGATTAAATCGTCGATGGTCCTCTAACCCTAACTGGATCCGGTTGACTCCCTTTAGGGAGCAGGCAGGAAGCGTAGACAACGCCCTGAGAGCATAGTGTTTAAAAAAAAAAAACAAAAAAAAAACCAGCCCTGCCCAATCATGTGCTGATGTGTGGCAAACATGTGGGGATCACACCAGGTTCTTGCCTCTAAACCGCCCCCTCTGGAATCTTCAGTCCCCAGATGGCTCTAGAGGCTCTTTGAATTGTCTCCGCCCTTCTGATCCCAGTTCCATTGTTAGGACCAGCTTTTAGCACTTCTGATGCAGATGTTTCCAGCATTCCTTCTCTCTCCCTGGCAGGAAGCTCCCCTCTAAAACACCTGTCTTTCACTGCACTCAGTTCTGGAACCTCAGGGTCTGCCAGCCCATTCCCACCTCTTCAGTGGCTCTCTGTTAACCCCTGACTTGCTACTACCTTGTGGTAGAATAGCCACTATGTCACTGGAGCTATCTACAAATAGGATCCTAGGGCCAATCAATCAATCAACGAGCATTTATTAAGCACCTGCTGTGTGCCAGGATCATAGCCGGAAGGCACCTTAGAAGCCATATAATCCAATTTACAGATGTGGAAACTGAGGCCCAAAGAGGTGAATTGAAACACTACTTATTCTGTACAAGGCACCCAGGATGAAAAGAGGTTGTAAGACATGGCTGTAAAACTCTAAGAAGAGTTTTCAATCTCTCTAGGGCAGGTTTTCTTAACATGGTTGGAGTTCATGAACTTTGATGGGGAGAAATTATATCTTTATTTTCACTAACCTTTGGATTTCCATTGTCATTCTTTGTATTTTATTTTTATGCATTTAAAAACATTCTGAGAAGAGGTCCACAGGCTTTGCCCGCCTGCCAAAGGCATCCATCAGCTTTCGTGGGGGAAAATGATGTCTTTATTTTCACTAACCTTTGCATTTCCATTGTCATCCTATGTATTTTATTTTATGCATTTAAAAACATTATTCTAGAGCAGCTAGGTGGTGCAGTGGATAGAGCTCCGGTCTTGGAGTCAGGGTAGCTGAGTTCAAATCCAATCTCAGACCCTTGACCTAGCTGTGTGACCATGGGCAAGTCACTTAACCCTGATTTCCTCACCAAAAAAAACAAAACAAACAAAAAAAAACCCCAAACCATTATTCTGAGAAGGGGTCCACAGGTTTCACCAGCCTGCTAAATGGGTTCATGGCACAAAAAGGTTAAGAACCCCTCGTCTGGAGAGATGAGATGTGCACATAAGGAGATAAGTAGAATCAGAATCTCAGTGCCACTCTGAATTCCTATAGTCCATGTAGCACATGTCGGGTGTATATCCAAAGCTACCTTATACTGGGAGGCAGGGTAGTGTGGTAGCAAGGGTGCTAAGCAGGCATGCCTGAGAGATGGTTTCAAAGCCCATCTCTTCTGTTTATTAGCTGCTTGACTTTGGGCAAGTCATTCGGCCTCCATGAGCCTTAATTTTCTTATCTGTAAAATGGGTATGATACAACTTGTTCTACCTATGTCACTGGTTGATTATGAGGAAAATGCCTTAAAGCAACATAGACATGTGAGTTGTTATCACAGTTATTATTATCATCATTGTGTAATCCACCTCCTTCATTTTAAGATGAGGAAACTGAGGCCTAGGAGATGAAGTGACAAGCAATAGCCCTACGTGGTAGCAGTCTTGGGACGAGAACTCTAGCCTCCTGCTGACTCCCAGCTTGGTGCTTTCACTATTCCAGTGCCTTAAACTCTAGACAGAAGCTCATGGGAGGGGTGGGATTGTAAAGGAAGCCTGTGAGGGGCAGCTCGTTGGCGCAGTAGATAGAGCAGGAGGACCCCAGTTCAAATGTGACTCAAACACTTATTAACTGTGTGACCCTGGGCAAGTCACTTAACCCTGATTGCCTCCCCTCCCACCAAAGGCAGAGGGGAGTATATATATATATATATATACACACTTATATACTTATATAAGTATAGATGAAGAAGCAAGATGTTTCTGGCAGGAGGAATTGTGGGAAGAAAGGGTCAGATACAGGAATGTAAAGAGTCCATCTGGAAACAATGAGAAAACTATTCTGGCTAGAGCAAAGGAGTTTATGTATAAGAGTAGCTGGAGATAAGGTTGAAGAGACTGGTAAAGGCCAGAATTCAAAGAGTCTTAAATGACAGGCTAATGAATTTCAACTTCATTTCAGGGAAGGTCTCTTGTTTAGCTGTTTTCAATTGTGCTGACTCTTCCTGACCCCATTTGGGGTTTTCCTGGCGAAGATACTGGAACCACTTCCTTCTTCAGCTCATTTGACAGATGAGGACATTGAGGCAAATAGAGTTAAGTGACTTGTCCAGAGTCACAAAGCTAGCAAGTGTTTGAGGCAGAATTTGAACTCAAGTCTTCTTGACTCCAGGCCCAACACTCTATACACTGTGCTATTTAGCTGCCGGAAAGAATCTTACTTTGGGACATAAAAAGAATAAAAGTCTGAAAGTGTTTGCTTTTTCCTGATGGTTGGTTGAAAGCCACCTGTATTGAGCCTTGTTAATTTTATTTCCAGGGAAATATTTTATTTTAAAAAAAATTAAGTCTGCCTACAGCCTTGGTGCCACAAGGATAATGTCAGAGTATATATTAAAAATAAATTTATTTTCAATCTTCTAGGAAAATCTTAAACGGTTACGAGACAGCATAACTCGAAGACAACTAGAGAAGCAAAAATCCGGGAAACAATCAGGTATTACTTTTTATTTGGGACAATGTTTAGGTCCCTGGTTATAGTAGAAAATTTTAAAAATTAATGTAGTATGTAAATTAATGTAGAATGTAAATTCAGAATCACATTCCATGGTTTTGGGCCTTTGGAATTAGTCATCATTCAAGTCAAAACAGCGAAGCTCCCCCCCACCCTCTACCATAAAGCAGCAAGTGGTGAAGGAGCATGGGATAAATGATTAAGTGCAAATGACAGCTGGTTCATAAATTTTAAAAGCAAATATGTCTTGCATAACATCAGGGTGCAAGTGGAATTGTTAGAGTTGATGAGACAGCAGTCTATTTCCTCTTTCAAGCTCAGGAAGACAACAACTTCATCTCTAATGTCTGTGCTTCCCTATAGGAAAGTCTGAAGTGATTAGAATTTTTTAAAAGGGGGTGGCCAAACAGACGTCCATGGATCATTTTCTAGAAAAGTCATCAAGAGGCCCTAAATCTCTTGAAAGATGCTTGTCAAGATCTTACCTAAAGGAACCCTTTTAAATTCCATGACCCTTATTAAAATGTTCCTTTATGGTTTGGTTTCATTGTAAGTGGTAGTATATCTTTCTTTTAAGAATCCTAATGCACTATCGACATTTAGCCTGCATCTCTTGACTTTGACAAATTCCTGGCTTCCCTTTGTCTCTGCTGGAGCTGAGAAAGGTTGAAGGCCTAACCAATCAACAAGTATTTATTAAATGTCTACTCTGTGCCAGGAACTGTGCTTGGCCCTGGAGTTATAAAGATGGTTCCTGTCCTCAAGGAGCTTATATTCTACTGAAGGAGACAAAAATATGATGGAGAGCACTGGTGGGGGAGGAGGGAGAGACAGGAAAGGCTTCAAGTAGATGAGTTTTGAGGGATTTTAAGAGGTTGAGAAGAGGTCATGGAGGACAGCAAGTGAAAAGCCCAAAGACAGGAAATGGAATGTTGTGTGTGAGGAAAAGCAAAAAGGTCAGTTAGTATGGATAGTAGCATGTGTAAAGGGGCAGCTAGGTGATGCAGTGGATAGAGCACAGGGTCTGGAGTCAGAAGGACTCATCAAATCTGGTCTCAGACACTAGGTGTGTGACCTTGGGCAAGTCACTTAACAGCTGTCTGCCTCAGTTTCCTCATCTGTAAAATGAGCTGGATAATGAAATGTTCTTTGCCAAACACACACACACACACACACACACACACACACACTCACACACACACACATAACCAACGGAGTCATGAAGAGTTGGACACAAACGGAAAAAAAAAATTGTAAAGAGTATGTAAAGCAGAATAATGTAAGGGACTGGAAGAATGGGTTGGAGTCAGTGGTGAAGGGTTTTAAATGTCAAACAGAGGAGCACTTAAATGCCAAATGGATGAGCCCAGCTCACTAGCAGCCAACCAGGGAGCCAGAAAATTCCCATTCAAAAGGTAGAAATGAAAATGAGCACAAAGCAGTGAATGAATCTGGGAATTGAGATTTTGTCACTCACTTCATATGCATAAACACCAGGTCTTTCCTGTTAAAATATTTGCTCTTCTATTATTCCCTTCTTAAAATGGAAGCGGTTTGAGTTTCAGTGTGTTTCTAGTTCATCCCTGGAAAAAGAGAGCCCAAAGTCAAAATTTATTTAAAAATAAAATTCTAAGTCTAGAAATGTTCATTTTAACATCATTTTGTACTTAGAGTGTGGACCAGACTTTGTTTTTGGAAAGAACAATGCACAAGGCAATGGGGCTCCCCCTCTGAAATATAAGAGGGAAAACCTTTAAAGCTTTGCAGACCATGTCTTTGGATTTAATGTATCTTCAATTGCTATTTTCACACACCAGATAACATACCTCTTAGCAAGCTCCTGACTGGCCCAAGCTGCCTTGAATCCCAGCAGCTGGGCCCCCCTCAGCTTTGAAAAAGCACCTTCAGCCACACCCAAAACCAGGGGAGGGAGAGGCTGCAGCCAGACGGAACTTCCTGGGTTGTAAAAATCTATTTAGCCAAAGGCACACAAGAAATCATATACCTGCAAATAGGCCCCACCCAGGTGCCTTGGGAAGGCTTGATGGTAATTCTGACGCTCTGGAAATTGGCCTTGGTGGATTTGACCTCTTGCTTTGGCTTCTCAGTGTGTTTTCTGCAGAAATTAGTGATCTCAGAGGCATTTGTCCTCTGCCAGGAGAAGTGGTCGTTTTCCCTGAAGGGTCAGGCAAGGTTCCAACCTGATTCTGGGTAGAAATCTGGAGAAGGGGAGACAGAAAGAGAGAGAGTGAAAGATGTGAGTTGTATATACTTCGTAAATGTTTGTTGGATTGAATGAAAGCCAGTGGAGAGCCACGTTAACTATTAGCCCATGTTTAACTCTTTATTGAATAAGGGAACTCAAGTTCCCTAGCAGGAATCCAGCCATACTGCAGCTCAGTCTTGGAAGTCTATGCACCTGTGGGACTTCTCTTTAAGGTTCTTAACTTACATTTTTATGCTATGATTACTTAAACTCACTGATTTCTGCAGGACACACACCGAAAAACTTAGAGCAAGAGGAATTATGTCCAATTGTAATGAAATACAGTTATCAAGATATTAAAAAAATTCAACTTGCAGACCCCAGGTTAAGAACTCCTGCTTCATGGTGCTATAGCCCCTTCTGGGTTATGATAATGAAGGAAGACCGCATAGTGTTAGAAAAGAACCCTCCATTTTTAGCTGAAATACTTACTTGTTCTCTTCCTAAAGTCACCTCCTCTACCCTTCCCTGCCCATTTTTCAGAATCAAGTGAGAAAGGTATTCTCTAGGAAACTAAGAATTTGGGTGGTTTTTTTTTTGTTTTGTTTTGTTTTGTTTTTTTTGTTGGGTAGGAGTTTCTTTTTTTTTTAATTTTTGGTGCATGGAGGCAGGTAGGTACAGTAGATAGAGCTCAGGGCCCAGACTTAGGAAGACCTGAGTTCAAATTATGCCTCAGACTCTTACTAGCTACATGACCCTGGGCAAGTCACTTAACTTCCTCACTATAAAATAAGAGTAATAATAGCACCTACCTCCCAGTGTTGTTGTGAAGAGCAAATGAGATAATGTTTGTAAAGTGCTTAGCACAGTGCCTGGCACATAGTAGGTATTTAATAAATGCTTATTCTCTTCCCCTTTTAATGACTGTTGTGAGCATAATAAACAGGATAGAATGTAAGCTCCCTTATAGAACATAAGTTCCATGAGGGCAGGGAATGTTTCCTTTTTGTCCTCATATCCCCAGTGCCTGCCACATACTTGATAAGTGCTTGTTGTTTGGGATAGATAGTTGAGGTTCGTGCATAATTCTCACTTTTCCTTTTTGATTCTAGACTTAGAGATCACGGTTCCTATTAGACATTCTCAGCAACTCTCTGGAAAAGTAGAGTACGGAATCTACGAAAGTGGCCCCAGGAAGAGCATCTTACCACCAAAAAGCACATTACGCCGAGGCGACTGGAAAACAGAAAGTACTTCGAGTACATCAAGTAAGGGGGGTTAGGGATGGGAACGAGGTGGGGAGTGGAGGGTAGCTGGACAGCCTTTTGTCTTTGGTCCAGCTGGGTGAGTCAGGCCTAGCTGGGTGTCCAGCATCCGTACAAGGCATGAGACCATCTTGCAAGGGAGCTCAGAGGCTGTCTAGCCTGACCCCCTCATTTTTCAGATGAAGAAATGGGAGTCCCAGGGTCACTCAAGGTCACACAGGTGGTAAGCATCAGCAGTGGAAAGGATCATGGATGAGTGTGTGAGTTTAAAGCTGCTTCCTTTTCCTCTTCCTAGTTTAAGAAATGAGCATCTCGAATTATCTTTCCCAGGGGCCTGAAGGTATTTTGCGTACATTGCATTTGGTCAGGATATAGGTTGGATGTTTTCCCAAAAGCTGACTTGCACAAACCTGAGCATAGCCTATAATTGTGGTCTTAGAGGGAGGACATTTGAAGTGATGGAGAACATTGATGACAAAAATAAATTTAAAAACCTTTATTTGAAATAAAAGATCTGAAAAACTGTACCCAAATCATATAAAATATATCTTTTGAATGTGAATTATTTTTAAGTGTACATACATAGTTTTCCTTTTAAAGAAATCTCATTTTAAGGGTATGGCCTATATTTGGACTGATATGGTATCTGTGGAAAAGAAATGTAGCATAATAGATAAAAGACCAGCCTTGGAGTCAACAACGCTTGATATTAAGTCCTGCCTCTGACATAGCAGTTGGGTGACAATAAGTCACTTAATCTTCTTAGTACCTTAGACAACTCTTTTAAAATTACAAGTTATAGATGAGTTGTCCATCTACATCAAAGGAAGAAATTTCCACAACAGGAAAGCCTGTTTGGGAAATCCCAAGTCTGGACCAAAAAATCAAATAAATACCCAAAACAATATTAGCCTATTTCTTTCATCTCTCCAACCAAAGTTGACTACATAGCAACCATTTATCCTGCCCATTTTACAGATGGCTAACCCTAGGCTTTTAATGGGAAAGTAACTTGAGTAAAGTTAGAGTTAGGACAAAATAAAGCAAGGCACAAACTTCAAGAATAATAACATTTTAAGCTAGTGAAGAGATTAAGGAGGAAACTTGTTTTTGACCAGAAAACTAGAATATAGTGCCTGGCATAACAGGCAACTCATAGCACTATGCAGGCAAGAGCTATTGGCTTTATTAGTCTACCGAGTGAGGCTGTGAACTGACTGTCCTGATGTACTGGCCTCACAAATGCATTGGATTACGTTCGCTCTTCGTCAATAAATTTCATGCTCTTCATCAGAAAAGTGATAAAAGAGTCAGAGGGAAGCTAAGCACTTGCAAATTTCAGTAGCTAACCTATTAAATTACTCCACTGGAAAATCATAAGGATTGAAAAAATGGTATAGCTCAGGGTACTCGAGGGAGTATTATGAAATTGTAGAATGTCCGAGACGGAAGCAACCTCTGTGGGTCTTCTAGTTCACAGGAATGTAAGGGAACCAGATGAAAATGTAATTGGGAGATATTTTAAAAATTTTTTTAAAGAATATTTTATTTTTTCGGGGCAGCTAGGTGGTGCAGTGGATAGAGTCCTGGTCCTGGAATCAAGAAGACCTGAGTTCAGATCCGGTCTCTGACACTTGGCACTTACTAGCTGTGTGACCCTGGGCAAGTCACTTAACCCCACTGCCTAGCAAAAAACAAAACCAAAAAAAAAAACCCTCTGAACTAAGAATATTTTATTTTTTCCCTAATTACATGTAAAGACAGTTTTTAACATTTACTTTATTTTTTCAAATTATATGTAAAGACAATTTTTAACATTCGTTTTATTTTTTCCAATCACATGTAAAGACAATTTTTAACATTCATTTAAAACAATTTTTGAGTTCCAAATTTTCTCTCTCCTTCCCTCACCTCTGCCCTTCTGAGAGAGTAAACAATTTGATATAGGTTATATACATTCAATCATGCAAAACATATGACCATATTAGTCATGTTGTGTAAGAAGACACAGATAATTGGGAGATACTTAACAAAATAAATAAAAATACGATAGCGCAAAGATAATGTTGACATATGGTTTTCCAAGACAATATGAGCTGGCAGGGATCCTCATGCAGAATTAACAGCCCCTGGTTTCTAATTGACTTTGACACCATTGGTCTACTCCGAATCCTCCCTTTGTAGGCGAAGTATCTGAGGCCCAGATTTGTCCTAAATCACATAGTAAGTCAATTGCAGATTCAGGACTAATACCCAGGTCTTCCAGTTCTCAGCCCTATGTTCTTTCTACTATGCCAATGTAACAACGTCTGGCTTAGCTGTCATTACAACCTTCTGCACGAAGTCTCAGTGCAAATTTCTTGCACGTATGATTTAATCCAGTTACTACTGTAGTAGTAGTGTGCCAGTGAATAGAGGGCTGGGTCTGGAGTCGTCAAAAACCTGGGTTCAAGATATGAAAATGAAAGGGTTTAAGGTATATTGTCAGTGAGCCAAATAAAGTTTATGGTGAAGAAAAGGCATTAGTAGATTTTTTTTTTATTACACAGAAGAAAGAAATTTGGAAGGGGACACAAATAGGATAGTTCTGTTTCTTCCTTGTTAAATTTAATGTGCGCTTTTAAAAAACAAATTGTATGTAACATTAGTTCACAGTTTCATATAGAAACCTCTTTTTTGTCCTTCTTTGTATATTAGATGTTTGCGTTTGTTGATGATTTTTTAAAAGTTCACAAAAACAGAAATTAAAAGTTAGTGGGATTAAAGAAGGACATTCTTTTTTTCTTTTAGAATAATTGATGTGTTTTACATAGTACTTTGTATATAGTAGAGGCTTAGTAAATATTTATTGAATTTAAAAACAAATAAACAAACAAAAAGTCTAGAGGGGAAACAACTGAATTTGACAATAAAGGAAAAGTTGACATTTCGTTTTAAGGGAGAGGAGGGGAGAATTCAATTCACTTCAACAAACTCTAAGCCCCTTACTATGCGCCAGGCACCGAAGGCTACAAAGACAAAAATGAAACAATCCTTACCCTCAAAGAGCTTACATTCTACTTGGTGTAAACCACATTGGTATTCAAATAGATACAAAACAAGGTCATTAGAGGAGGAAGTGAATTGAGAACTGGGAATACTTGGGAAGGTTTCACAGACAAAACACAAAGTGGCTGAACACGTAAGGAAGATGATGACTTGGAAAGGCAGAGTGGAGGGAAAAAGTCTGCCCACAGTTTGGAGGGGTAGAGTTCATGCAAATGCACTGAAACACAGAGTCCATAAATGGGAATCATGTGCAGAAAGCCTGGGAAAGTACTTCGGAGCTGGGTTGTGGAGAACCTTAAATACCCGGCCTTGGATGTTACCCTCATAACAATATTGTTGTTGTTGTTCTGTCATGTCCGACTCTTTGTGACCCCTCTGGGGTTTTCTTGGCAGAGATGCTGGAGGGATTTGCCATTTCCTTCTTCAGCTCATTTTACAGATGAGGAAACTGAGGCAAGCAGGGTTAAGTGACTTGTCCAGAGTCACACAGCTAGTAAATGTCTGAGGCAGGATTTGACCTTAGGAAGAAGAGTCTCCCTGACTCCAGGCCCAGCGCTCTATCCACTGCACCACCTAGCTGCCCAAGCCAACAGAGAGCCACATAAAGCCTTTGAGCAAGGGTCAGGCAGGGATCTTAAAAAGATCATTTTGCCAACTAGATGAAAGAGGAATTGGAGTGGGGATAGACTAGAAGCAAGAAAACAGATTAGCAGACCATTATAATAGTCCCAAAGTAAATTATTTTTCCTTTGTGTTTTATCTTGATAGCATTTGGTGCCTAGGTAGGAAAGAATTGATTTCTGGGAGCAGTAGGTATTGTGGTTTGATATAGAAAATGATATTCCCTGTTGCAGGATACGTGGTTCCTGCCAAAGACTTTCATTTTAGCCTGACTGATTAGAGTATGTTGTTGACTTGGCCAGTCTCCTTCCATGCCATGACCACAGATGGCATACCAGTTCCAGCTAGCTGTTGTGAGAACATGACACGAGGCCTAACCAGTAAAGAGAGATTGGTAAACTCATCACTGCTATTGAAGAGCCAGTCTGGTAGCAAGCAGGAAGCAATACAGCTGAGTTCTACCCCACAACTGTTCCACACAGATCTAAAAAACAAAGCAGACCAAACCCTGATCAGGAAATCCAAGAAGAAGAAGAAAAAAATCCCAGTGAGTCATTTTTCCAGCCCTGGTAGGCACAGGCAAAGGTCAAGAAGAGAGGTCTGCAGACGCTGGGGAGGGGGCCTACCTAGGAAAAGCTCCTACAGAGTATTCCATCACAGAGAAAGGGTGTGCACCAGGGCAAGAAGAGGTCCCAGATCCAACACAGAAGGACCTCACCAAGAGGCAGGACTCAGGAATAAGTGCCAGCTGGTGGCTCAGTTGCTCATTGCCCCAGGTCCAGGTCACAGAACCAAGGCTGACTGAGGAGGAGACTTAATGTAGGGGGTCCAGGTTGAGTAGTGGTCATGGGTCCTAGGCTGTGTACTAAGCAAGGATCAAGTTCACACACAAGTAGCAGCTGTGTGGTTCTGACCCCAAGAGCATAGCAAAGTTTTAGTTCCATCCGTTAGTCCAGTATGAAACTTGCACTGGCATATCAAGGCAAGAATTCCAGACCTTAGAGGAGCCTGCAGTCCTGCAACTCTGAACCAGCAGAAGTTTCTAGCTGGCTGACAGTCGTTAAGTACAGCAGCAGTCTACTGGAATTCCAATCAGAAGCAAGCCAACAGAAGTGTTGTGCAGACCCAAACCCAGGTCAGTAGCTTGGAGAGCTCCTACCAGGAGGGAAGTGATCAGATTTTGCTTTGGATCAGATCACTTTTGGAGCAATGAAAGCTTGCAGGTCCCCAGCCTGAGCTATCTCTGAGATTCTTGAACACAACCTCAATACCTCAAGAAAGTGAAAGCGGGACCCTAGAGAACACAAGCTCAGCTCAGATATCCCCTCTAGAAGTGTGCAGAACCCGCCCCTAAACTGAAATGAGGAAGTAAAGTAGAAGAAGGAGCAAACAAAAAAATCCCACCATAAAAAAAAGTATCCTGGTGACAGGGACGTTGAAGACACAAACGCAGAAAAAGAGAATGATTCTAAAACATCTATAAGCAAAACCTTAAAGAAAAGCACCTTGAAGGGCAGTTAGGTGGTGCAGTGGATAGAGCTCTGTCCTTAGAGTCAGAAGGACCTGATTTCAAATCTGGCCTCAGACATTTGACACTTACTAGCTCTGTGACCCTGGGCAAGTCACTTAACCTCCATTGCCTCACCAAAAAGCAAAAAAAAAAGCACCTTGGGCACAAGTTCAACTCAAATTCTTGGAAGAGATGAAGGAAGAGTTTTTTAAAGTATAAAATTATTTAATAAATGAAATGAAAGTGCTAATGGAAAAAAAATTAGAACTTTAAAAGAAAGAATTGAAAAGGGAATTAATAGCTTAGAACAAGAGGTTCAAAATATTAACCAAACACTGAACTCTCTGAAAATTAAAGTGGACCAAATAGAATATAATTATTCCATGAGATAATAAGAAATAGTAAAATAAGATCAAAAGACTGAAAAATAGAAGATATAAATTATTTCATAGCAAAAGCAATTAACTTGGAAAACAGATTAAGGAGAGGCAATTTAAGAATCATCAGAGTATACCTTATGTGATGTCTAAAAGAGCCTAGACATCATATTTAAAGAAATCACAAAAGAAAATTGCCCAACTCTCTTAGAACTGTAGAGCGAAGTAGAAATAGAGAGAACCCATCACACAACTCCAGAAAGAAACCTCAAAATGAGTACTCCCAAGGACATCACAGCCCAAATTCAGAACTTCCAGATCAAAGAAAAAATACCACAAAAAAACCAGAAAGACTTCAAGTACTAAGGAGCCACAGTCAGGTTTACACAGTTTAGCAACCACCATTATAAAGGATCAGAGAGCTTGGAATATAAATATTCCAGAGGACAAAAGATATAAGCTTACAATCAAGAATAACTTATCCAGCAAAACTGAGTAGAGTCCTGCAGAGGTAAAAAATAAACCTTTATTGAAATAGAGTACTTCCAAGCATTCCTAATTGAAAGACCACAGTTACATAGAAATTTTGAAATGCAAACATGAGAATCAAGGGAAATGTAAAAAGGTAAACATAAGCAAACAATCATAAGGAACTAAACAAGAATAAATTGTCTACTTTGTAATATGTAGAGATGATAGATGTATCACCTCAGGACCCTATCATCATCAAGGGTTGTAAAGGAAGTCTTATTAGTTATAGAGCTAGGGAGTAGTTCTATCATTTTGTGATTATCTTAAATGAGGAATGAAAAAGGAGAAAAGGAGGAATATACTAGAGAAGAAAAGAGAAAGGAAGGATGGAGAAAATTATAAACAGGGTGCACAAGTAGCTATCTATAAATGGCAATCTATATAAATCAGTAGGAAGGGGTCACAATGATGAGGTTTAGGGGTGCTGGGACCCCAAAATCACAAGCGCCTCCTGCCGAAAGAATTCAACCCAAGCCTTCTTTCTGCCAAAGACAAGGTTTATTAGAACATCTGCCATCATAGGAAGACTCTTAAGGAGTCTGAACATTGGTAAAGCCATTGGCTAGATTTTAAGAATCTGAGTACCTTAATGGTGACAAGATGGGCCTTATATAAAGAAAGACTGTGGGAGGGATCTAGGAGTGGCCAAGTAGTTTGGGGTAACTGGAGGAGGGGTCTAAGGAGAGCTGGATGGGAGTGGCCAGTAAACTGGGGTGAACAACTCCTGGGACTTGGACCAAGCGGCCAAGGGAGAATGGAGCCTAGCTAGGATTAAGGGTGGGAAATGACTTGGGGCCGTAGGGAGGTAAAACAATGAAGGGTCTGGTGAGGTTAATGGTAACAGAGATTGGGAGATTGGGTGTAGCCAAAATGAAAGGCCAGTTGATGGGATGATAGCCTCAGGGGAACACCAGAGATTAGGCCATGTGATAAAGTCCTGGGTTTTTCCTTTTTGGGGCTAGCTCCCATCCTCATCAATAAGAAATGATGAAGTAGATGGATTCAGAAAAACCTGATAGGACTTATATGAATTAATAAAAAGTGAAGTGAGTAGAACCAAGAGAACAGTTTATCTTAACAACAATATTGCAAAGAACAACATTAAAAGATTTATGACCAACCACAATTCTGGAGGACTTATGGTAAAACATGCTCCCCATCCCCTAATGAGAAGGTGATAGATTCAGGACATGGACCAAGACATTTTTCTTTTGTATGTGGTCAATGAGGGTATTTGTTTTGCTTGACTATACATGTTTGCAAAAAGGATTTTGTTTATCTTTCTCAAATGGGGGCAGTGAGGGTGAGGAAGATTTGGGGATAATTGAAAAAAATAAAATTTAATTAAAAAAGAAAAAGAAAAACCAATGCAAAGCATATACTCTATGGTCAATCAATAATGAAGGTTATCATTATTACCTATAGACTCTCCATGTAAGGGGCAGCCTAGTATAGTGGAGAGAGCACTAGATTTAAAATCACAAACTCTGTGACCATTGGCCAGTCACATAATCTCTCTGAATTTCAATTCATTCTGTCTCTCAGGATTGGCCAACAATAGGTCTCTGCCCAAGTACCACTTAATGGTTATTTTTATATCTATATTTTAAACTGGCCTAATTACTGAATGGGCATTGCCTCAGGGAAAGAGACAACTTGGAAAGACCTTAGCTTAAAAAGGCCAAGGTCTCCCACTGCTTCCTGGGCAATCGCCAGTCATCCTGATCTATATCTGGCCACTGGACCCAGATGACTCTGGAGGAGAAAGTGAGGCTGGCGACTCTGTACAGCCCTCCCTCGCTTAAATCAATTGCAAGTCATAGCATCATCTTCCTGATGTCATGGTCCTCTTTGAAAACAAAGGACAAACCACAGTTTCTTCTTCTATAAAAAAAGGGGCAAAATATCTGTGTGTAGTAACTAGCTACCTCATAGGGTTGTTGTGAAGATCAAATGAGTTAATGTATATAGAGTGCTTTTTCAATCTTAAAATGCCACATTATTATTGTATTGACTATATATATGAGATAGCTAGATGGCTCAGTGGATAGAGCTCTGGGCCTGGAGTCAGGAAGACCTGAGTTCAAATCTAGTCTCAGATACTTACCTTGCTGCATAACCTTAGTCAAGTCACTTAACACCTGTTTGCCTTAATCTACTAGAGAAAGAAATGGCAAACCACTCTAGTATCTCTGCCAAGAAAGCTTCATGGACAAGTATGGTCTATGGGGTCAGGAAGAGCTGAAAACATCTGAATGACTGAAGAGATAGATACATACATACACATACACACACATATATATGTATATGCTTGAATATTCTAAGTCAGGTATTATTATAGTTTGAGATCTATGGAAAAGCAATTGCAAATTCTATCTGGTTCTAACTAATCTCCTTATTGGAGAAAGAGAGGAAAAGAAAGGCCTTCCAGACCCTAGTGAATGGCCCATTTTTTTCGAGCTATATTTGGTACAACAAAATTCTAGCACAGAACAAGTATTTGAACAGTTGTTTGGAATTCACCATAATGAGATTTGAACTATGTAAAGTAGGACATCCCTTAAAGGCAAGCCTTACATTGGGACAGATAAAAGGCTATGCACTCCTTATTCTGAAATAAGAATTTGAGGATTTAGAGCCAAAAGGAATCTCAGAGATTACCTGGTCGCAATTGTAAAGTGATTTTTCCCACAGGTAGTAAGTGTTTCTCATTGTTTGGTCATTTTTCAGTCATGTCTGACTCTTCATGGCCCCATTTGGGGTTTTCTTGGCAAGGATACTGGAGTGGTTTGCCATTCCCTTCTCCAGCTCATTTTACAGATGAGAAAACTGAGGCAAACAGGATTAAGTGATTTGCCCAGGGTCATACAGCTAGTAAATGTCTGAGACCAGATTTGAACTCAGGAAGATGTCTTCCTGACTCCTCGCCCGGCACTCTTATCCATTGTGCACCTAGCTGCCCTGCACATTAGTACTCGTAAACAAAAACAGACATTGAAATCATATGTAAAAGCACAAACTCCATGCTGTTTACTTTTTCAAAAGAGGTATACTGACTTTGACAAAATAATATCATTATTGTTTTATTTGCTTCTTTGCCATATTTTCAATTTCAACTTATGTTTCTCAGATGCAGAAAAGCCAGTGAATAGCTGAGGGCCATCAATTACAAATGATCATAAATAGAAGGGGGTAGGGGGCATTTGATTCATCTAGCTTTAAGCTGGAAACAATGCAAAAAAAAAATTAAGCTTCAACATAAGGCAGTCAATTTGGTTGCACACAGGCACACACACCCCTTTTGTTAGAAACAGGAAAAACAACAGCCCTCACCCATAAGTAAATGTTTGATTTCCTTTTAACCTATGTGATTCTACATCTGGCTCAGCTGGTTTTTTTTGTTTTGTTTTTGTCCATCAACCAGGTAGCAATAGTAACCGTTCCAGCACACGAAGTGTCCTCAGTGTCAGCAGTGGGATGGAAGGTGACAATGAGGTAAGACTGGGATCCTGTCTCACTCATCATAAAATTTTTGTTTGAGGATGATTTAAAATTCTGTTTCTCAAAAAAGCAGTTTGGGGCAGCTAGGTGGCGCAGTGGATGGAACACCAGCCCTGAAGTCAGGAGGACCTGAGTTCAAATGTGACCTCAGACCAAACGCTTGACACTTACTAGCTGTGTGACCCTGGGCAAGTCAATCCCAATTGTCTTAAAAATAAAAGCAGTTTTGTTTAATTAGTTATTTTTTTAAAAAAATTTCATAGAACTTTCCCCATAAGTAAAAGGGTTTGGGTAGTTCAAGAGAACCAAGGGCTCAGTTCTTGTCTTCATGGTGACCATCATAAAAGACTAGGTGACCGCACTGTCCATTGCTAGGTCAGTACCAGACGGTAATCAGAACTGGTGGATGACCTTGTTAGCAATAGTTGGACTTTCTGATATCTATCCCTTAGGTCACACCTCTAGATGGTAGCCAGGGTCTTTCTGGTGTTACAGCTGCTGCTAATATTCTTACCTTATCCCTGATTAATTCCATCTTGAAACTGGAAGACATGATAGTTTTGTACATATGTGTAATGTCTGTGTGAAGCAGACAATCAGGTCTGCAAGCCACTGTTCCATAAATCCCTGCTTATTGGCCCCGGGGAGACAGAGATAGTAATCTCTATCCTAAGTGAGTGGCTGAAACTTCATTTTCCCCCCTTTCTTCCTCCTGATTTTGCTTCTTGAAGGACAGTGAATTCCCGGAAGTTAACAGAAGCCGTAGCCCAGGTCCCCAGCACATGGAGAGAGCCCCCTTCAAGTCACTGGAAAGGCCTCCCAGGATACCTCCGCGAGCTGCCTCACACAGGTAAGCTATGCCGGGGGACTCAGTATATCTCAGTTGAGGAAACAGAGCTTTGATCTCATGAGACTAGATATAAATGGAGGGAAGGGAATAAGCATTTATTTAGTGCCAGCACTGTGCTTAGTGCCTTACAAATATGATCTCATTTGAATGGATGCTTTATCAACTAAAATGTCCACACTTGTTTTGTGACACAAGGGTCACATGTTTGATAAGCCACACTGTAAGTGGCAGAATTTTAAGTGTAATGTAAGCATTTATTATAAGCATAGACTAGTGGAAAAAACTTAGAACTTGAAGGCAAGAGACCCAAGTTTGAGTGCTGGTTCTAATAATTACTATGCGTATGATAGAGGGCAAGTAATTTACCTTCTCTGAACCTCATTTTATGGTCTTGTGCTGTGTCACAGTTCTGAGGACAGTCAACAAGCATTTATGAAGCACTTGCTATGTACCAGTCAATCAACAAACATTAAGTGCTGACTTATGGGCCAGCCAGATGGCTCAGTGGATGAAGCACTGGACCTGGAGTCAGGAAGACCCGAGTTCAAATCTGTCCTCACGCATTTACTAGCTGTGTGACCCTGGGCAAGTAACTCAACCTCTGTTTGCTTTAATCCACTGGAGAAGGAAATGGCAAACATCTCCAGTATATTTGCCAAGAAAACCACATGGACGATATGGTCTGAGAAGTCACAAAGAGTCAGACGTGACCGAACAACAGCAACAATGTGCCAGCTAAGCACTAGGAATACAGAGAAAGGCAAAAATAGTACCTGCTCACAAGGAATTTACACTTCAGTGGGGGAGATGATAATTAATAAATTGGTACATACAAGATATATAAACGTAAAGTTAAAAGGTAACCTTAGAGAAGACAACTTTAGCATCTGGAGGAGGCAATGAAGTCTTCTTACACAAAGTAGCATTTGAGCTGAGTCTTAAAGGAAGCCAGGGGATTCTCATAGGCAGAGATGAGGAAAGACAGCATTTCAGGCACAAGGGACAGCCAGTGCAAAAGTATAGAGGTGGGAAATGGAATGCTGTGGCCAGGGAAGAAGAAGTAGTCCAGTATGATTGGATTGTTGAGTGCATAGAAGGGAACAACATGGATATACACTGGAATAACAGGAAAGGACTAGATTGTGAAGAATTTTAAATTTCAAACAAAGGATGTTATATTTAATGTTGGTGGTATTAGGGAGCCACTAGAGTTTATGCCAGTTTAAGAGTTGTTTAATTCTTAATTAAACTCAAATTTAACAAATTTATATTTAATTCTGGTGATATTAAGGAGCCGCTAGAGTTTGCTGAGTTGAGGGGATAGGAGGCAGGAATGACATGGTCAGATCCATGCTTCAAGAAAATTACTTTGGCAGCTATGGGAGGATGGATTGAATTAAGCGGTGACCTGAGATGGAAAGACCAATTAGAAGGCTATAGTCCAAGTGAGAGGTGAAGGCCTGAACTAGATTGGTGGCTATATGAGGGGAAAAAAGAGAACACACATGACAAAGGTTGTTTAGAAGCAAGTTACATCATTTGGCAACTATTTGGATATGTGGGGTGATTGAAAGTGCAGAGTCAAGGATGGCATTGAGGTGGAGAACCCATGTGACTAAGGGCATGGTGGTGCCCTTGACGGTCATAAGAAGTTCAGAATAGGAAAAGGCATTGGGTGAAAAATAATGAGTTCAGTTGTAGACATGTTGAGATTGGGCATGTCTATAGGGCATCCAGTGTGAAATGTCCAATAGGCAGTTGTAGATATGCGACCAGAGCTAAGGAGACTGTTGTTGTCCTGTCATGTCCAACTCTTCATGATCCCATTTGGGGTTTTCTTGGAAAGATACTGGAGTGGTTTGCCATTTCCTTCTCCAGCTCATTTTACAGATGAGGAATAGAGGCAAACATGGTCAAGTGACTTGCCCAGGATCACATAAATAGTAAAGTGTCTGAGACTGGATTTGAATTCAGGAAGAGAAGTCTTCCTGATTCCAAGCCTAGTGCTTTATCCACAGTGCCACCTGACTGGGGGCTGAATATATAGCCCTGGAAATTATTTGCATAGAGCTGAAAACTGAATCAATGAGAGTTGATGAGATTATCAGCTGAGATAATATATAAAAGAAAAATAAAGAGGGCCCAGGAAAGACCCCCACAGTTAGTGAACATGACCTGGATAAAGATTCTGCAAAAGAGATAAAGAAGGAGTGATCAGACAGGCAAGAGGAGAATCAAGAGAGAGCAATGTTGTGAAAACCTCAAAAGGGGAAAAAGGAAAGAAAAGGTAGAAAAGGTGATCAACAGTTTCTGTCCTGTTGAGAGGTCAAGCTTGAGCATTGAGAAAATATCATTGATATGGCAAGTAACAGAACACTAGTAACTTTAGAAAGAAGAGTTTCAGTTGAATGATGAGGTTGGAGGCCAGAGTTCAGAGGGTGTGAGATCACAGAAACAAGGAAGGAGAGAGGAAGTGGTAGCACAGAGTACAGACTGTTTTTTCAAAGAGTTTATCTGAGAAGGAAAGGAGATACATAGGATGATAGCTGGCAAGGATGTTAGGATCACAGGCTCGGGGAGATGGGTATGTTTGTAGGTAACAGGGGTGATGCCAATAGATAAGGAGAGACTGAAGATTAGGGGGGGGAAATGAAGACTTTGCTGGAGAAGACAGGATGATGTCAGAGGTGTGAGATAGGTCAAAGGGAGAAGAGGGAGTGAATGAACTCAGTCTTTTCAGTCAAGTATGTATATAAGATGAGATCCTCAGCTGAGAGTGTGGGGAAAGGGGTACTGTTGGGAAGATTGTAGAGAAAGGAGGTTTGGAGAAGCCACTGTAGTGAGTGGGTAGAGAATAAATTAGAGAGAAATAGGATTGCCTTGCTGTGGTGAGGGCCCAGTTGGATTTGGATAACATAAATATGTAGTGGATGCAGTCAGTGCAGTTTCCTGGCTTCCTCTAGCTTTATTTAGCAGAATGCGAATAGGAACAAAGGAGGAAGATGGTGAGAGTAATCCATGGCTGGGATTTAGTAAAGGGGATCAGAAATAGGATGAGGGGAACAAGAGTTTGAGAAAAGGGCAAATGTATAGTTAAACTACAAGATTGGGAAGGGAAGGAGAGTGTGACCAACATAGGGGCAATGGCATGGGAAAGTAATGAAGGATAGAGGGATTAGAGGTCCTAGTGAGAAGGGAAAATGAGGTTAGGAGTCATAAGGCATAGGGAAGTACTTCAAAAAGCTTACAGTGCTAGAGAGGCAGTTTTGTACAATGGAAGGAGCACTGGATTTGGAGTTAGAGGTGCTGACTTCAAGCCCTTCCTCACTTACTACCTTTGTGACCTTGGGCAATTAATTTAAACTCTCTGTGCCTCAGTTTCTTTATCTGTACAGTGAGTGGGGTTGGACTAGAAGGTTTTTGAGGCCCCTTCTAACCCAGATATTTGATAGAAATAGGAACCATGATATACTTATTGAAATGTTTGTATTTTAATGTATTATAAAAATAATTTATTTTAAATAATGTTTATAGAAACATTTAGTATAAATTTGTTTCCCAGTTAACAGGTTCATATGAAACAATGGGTTATGGAGAATTAATAATACTTTATATCTATTAGGTGACTTTGGTAAGAATCACTTTATTTCTCAGTTTCCTTATTTGTAAAAACAGAGTTTAAAATAGTAGTGCTACATACTCCACTGGTTGAAATGAGGATGAAATGAGATAATGCACATGGCAATATTTCTGAAAGTATAAAGCTCTATATAAATATAAGACATGATTATTAATGTTAAAGTTGCTATAAGCAAGGAGCAGCTAGTTGGTGCAGTGGATGGAGCACGAGCCCTGGAATCAGGAGGACCTGAGTTCAAATTTGGCCTCAGATACTTGACATTTACTAGCTGTGTGACCCTGGGCAAGTCACTTAACCCCATTGCTTAGCAGGAAAAAAAAAAGTTGCTCTAAGCAGCATCGCTGCTCTCTTATGGATCTTTCCCATTAGTGTGTAAACTTTTTGGGGGCAAAGACTTTTTGTTTTTGCCTTTCTTTGTATCCCCAAGCTTGGCATAGTGCCTGGAATATAATAACATATGCTTGTTAGCCAGGGATAGTGGCAGGCGTCTTTAACCCTGCTGCTGGGGAGGCTGAGCTATGAGGATCTCACTGGAGCTTGGGAGATCTGAGCTGCAGTTACAGCTAAGTTTATTGAGTGTCCAAAGTAAATGTGGTGTCAATATGGTTAATCCTTGGGAGGAGGAGAGGAAGGAGCCCACAGACTACACAAGGAAGGGCGAACTGGCCCAGATTGGCAATGGAGTAGGTCAAATCTTCCCTGCCAATCCATAATGGAATGGCTCCCATGAATGGCTTCTATGCTTCCATCCTGGGTAAGTTAGGGAGATGTAGTCTCCAAACAAATCTTAAAATGCTTGATGATTGATTTATTGATTTCTTTCTAATGCTAAGAAACAAAATCTAACAAGGCAATAGAGTTTTAGGGAACTTTTCAAATGTAATTTAGAAAGCAGCTGTATGCTCCACCAGCTATAAATGATGAAATGCAAGAGCTTGTATGCTGTTTAGCTATCTGTAGAGTTCTTAATGTCAGCAGGAATCTTCACAATCTCTTGGAAACTCCATAGTTCCCATTAATAACCTATAGTTTAAATATTTTCCAAGCCAGATTCAAATATTTACTAAGCATCTGCTGTGTGCAAGGCTCTGTGAATGATGCAGAGAAGAATAAGATGTGATCTCTGACTTCATGAAGCTTATAGTCTAGCTAGGGAGATGAGCTAAGAATAGATGGAAATAACTATGAAAAAATTAGAACCTAAAAGTTCAGTAGCACCAACAGCATGCTTTGCATGTACAAAAAATAGACATTACTTCCTGCAGGAAGGAAATGACACTTCAGCTTGTCCCTGAGGTTAGTCCTCAATTTGACAGACATAAGTCACATCACTAGTAAAAGTTTCTTCTCCCATCCTGAT